TCACATCACAGAACACTTCTGCTCTGCTGTCTGCTTGATTTCTGTGAAGGTGGCCTGGGCTTTCTCTTTGATGGTGTCCAAGTCCATGTTCTGGAGGTTCTGCAGCTGCCCGAGAATAGAATCTTTATCTTCTTCCTCTTCTTGATCTTCATCTACCATCTTCCGGAGATCTTCGGGCAAATCCACATCATCTCCAGCCATCTGGATTTGGTTCTCATCCATTTCACTCTATGAGAGAAGAAATACAGAGTTGAGAAATAACTCTGAGGTACACAGACAGAATGTACTTCACCCCCTTAGGACCTGGAGCGGAGGTGGGCACACGATGAATGCTTAAGAAAGTTTGTTAAAGTAATCATTGTTCATTGCTCGGCATGCTAATGGTCCAGCCTTCCTTGCTAGTGATACTGTCACCAAAGCGTGTGGCATACATGCCCAGAACATCCTACTGCCTGTTACAGAGCCTTTTGTTTCCTAACAAATGAGAGGAATCTAAAGGAAAAGGCCCTCTGGGAAAGGAGATGAGCGTTGAAATTCCCAGATGGCAGCTGTCTGGGAATTTTCTGAGGTCAAGTTGTAACATGAGGCAAACTGGGTTCAAGGACCACAGAAGATTAAAAATTGTGCCGGAAAAGCTGATGACAGAAAAGGCATAAGCAGATGTTAGATTGGGTGCCATTGAGTCAAGGCCGACTCATGGCGACCCCACGTGTGTCAGGGTAGACCTGCGCTCCGCAGGGTTTCAAGGGCGGATTATTTGGAAGCAGAGCATTAGGCCTTCCTTCTGAGACACATCTTGGGTGGACACAACCTTCCAACCTTTCAGTGAACAGCCAAGTGTGTTAACTGCACCACCCAGGGTGTCCAAGAAGGCAAATATTAGGACCTACCTTAATGCATTCTTCATGCTGGCCTGGAATTTCTCAGCAAAGCTCAAGGAAAATCACATAAAGATAAATCACCATCTAAATCTTTTTCAGACCAACCTGATTTGACTTTACAAAGATTTCGGGACCTGCTCATTTCCCAGGTGGAGATAAAGCCAACACCTAAAGGGAGATGCGAATCCCCCTGCCCGGCGCTGAGTAGATGCACTCGGAAGTTCATGTGGATTGTCTCTAGGTGCAAGCAGTAATTTGTCAATGCGTTTGTCCATCTGTAACAGGGGATGGTGGGGCCAAATCTCCAAGGTCCTTTCCAATGCTAACACTGCTGGCTCCCTACTTCCCTAGCTGATCCTGGGGAACCTGGACGCCAACAGCCTTTACCCAGAGCTCTTATTTGAGTCCCTGGGCAGAGTGACGGTTGAGCCTGGCTCTGGAACTAGCACGAGAGGCAGGTATCTGAGCACAGGAGACAAATCCTTCACAAGGCTGGTCCTCACATGGGTGCTTCCTGAAGACTTCCAGAGGAACCGCTCTCTGTATCAACCCTGGAGATAAGCAAAGCTTTTCCGGCACTTGGCTAGGGCCTCAGACCTTCCAAGTCCTTAGCAGATTAATTAGTTCCTCGTCAAACTGTGTGGGGATTAATTAGCTAGTTAACCCGCAGGGGCTCCCAGCCAGTGTTCCATGTCTATTTATTTCTTATTTACCTCCCCTAGCACTGGCCTCAGAGGATTCACTGCTCTGGTGAAGTAGTGGTTAAGGCACATGGCTGCTAACCAAAAGGTCAGTGGTTCAAACCCTCCAGCTGCTCTGCGGAAGAAAGATGAGGCAGTCTGCTTCACTAAAGATTTACAGCCTTGGAGACCCAATGGGGTCACTATGAGCCAGAATCGATTCCGTGGTAGTGAGTTTGGTTCTGGTTTTGAGTGGTGGCTTCTCCTGCTGTCCATCCTCTGGGCATTCTTGCAGGGGAGGAGGACTTCAGCCTGGTGGATCTTAGCTCACGTAAAGGCAGCACATCTGCTGGGGTGGTTAGTTTTAGGTGTTAACTTGGTTGGGCTATGGTTCCCAGTGGTTCGGCCAAATAAACTAGCTTCTGTTCCATAATGTAATCTAATGTAATGCAATGCAATCACCTTCCATTATATAACCAGTTGATCAGTTGAAAGAGGAGTTTCCACTAATCAAGGCCAGAATAGATGGACTCTAATTCAATGGGAGAAGAATGTAGAACAGAACCTCAAATTGCTACAATATGAAACAAAAACAAACCAGACCTACTAGACTATTTGAGACTGGAGGACTCCCTGAGACTACTGTCCCCAGATACTCTCCAAACCTTGAACTGAAACTAACTGCTGAAGTCACCTTGTAGCTAAATATGTAAAAATGTAGCTAAATAGCAAATTGGCTCAGAAAACAATCTCCCCTAAGAACTGTGCTCCTCTAGAAAGTCACCAATCTGAACCCAAGGGCCAACAATTGCTTTAAAACAAAGGTGAGAATGGAAGGGGTCAGGGAAACTAAATTAATGGGAACAGACCAACCAGAAGAGGAACAATGAGAATGTTCACACACTGTGAAGAATGTAACCAATGTCATTGAACAACAACTTGTGT